TGCGGGGTCGAGAGCAGCATAGCAAAGCTCTTAGGACGGACGACGGAGAACGTGCCCAAATCACCTCAGTTGTCTTTCTTGAATGGCCTGAGATATGCTCGCGATACGATCGCAGCGAGGGCGGAATGTCTCATTCGAGATGAAGTCGGTATACTTAACTCGTATTGGACATGCTGGCGTTCTGCTGACTCTACGTCTATTTGTGCAGGATGCGCTGCATGGGATGTCAATCGCCGACCTGCCGGTCAGCGCTTTTCTCCCTCTCTCTCACCACACGCTCTTAAATATTGCCACTATTAAAATAGTATTAACAAAAGGTAAGTAGCATTGTTTTTGTAAATAAAACCTGTCTAGGGTTGACATAGTACTACTTCGTGTTCAGATTATCGGGGGAAACAAGGGACACACATAACTATTCAAACTCTTCTTGAAGAGCTGTTGACACTTCGACCAACCAGAAGAAGACGAATTGCCTCCTCAGCAGAAATGACAGTGTGTCAGCCCGGGCCCTTTACAGATACATTTCTTTTGGAGTCCACTCAAAGGGCCAGCGGTTTACGAGTCAACTTTGATCATTGGGCGCCCAAATACTCAGGAGAGCCGAAGTCAAAACAACGAGACAAACGACTGGAGTCACAGACTCGTGTCCTTTCGAACAATATCTGGAATAAGCGGGGTAGCACTAGAGGACAGATGACCGACCTAGTCTGACTGCAAGATTATAGGTGGCCTGTGTTACAGTTGCAACAAAACATCAGTAGACGCCAGTCTAGGTGAATTTGAATATTCCCGACAGACTGTGAGTCTATAGAGATGAAGATTCGATCGCTGGGACAATACTTTTATTCGCCTGATGTTTCAACATCCCTCGCGGATTCTTCATCAGAGACATTAGTAGAAAATAGCAGTAGCCGAAACGGGTAACACATGCACATGCAATCACCACGCGTGATGAAATTTCAGCAAGTCAGGGTCCGCATGTCGGTAATCAAGCAGTCAACACGCAATTATCGTTAATTGTTGTTTTTTGTCATAAGTGTGCAGGAATGACTCTATCCTATAAATACTGCAACTTTCTGTGCATGTGTTACCCGTTTCATGAACAATCCGCGACGGATGTTGGTAAGTAGCCCTTGTTGGATCAGGAGTCCCCGCCGGAATCCAAACTGGGTACAGTTGGGAGACAGAGAAATGCCGCGACCTCAGCCGGCTTGGGCCAAAGGTCCACGGGGGGTGAATTGGGTGTCTGGCCGGGGAACTGCAGGCAAACAGACGTTGAGAGTCATGCGGAGAGACGCCGCAGTCGGGCAGCTGTCGTGTGTGGATGGGTTGAGTCGGTGTTTGTACTAGAGAAGGAGCATGGAGTAGCCCCTGCGCAGCTGCGCCAGGGTACAGCGAGTGACCCCCGGGAGTTGTCGTTCAGTGGCCGCAATCGGAGGTGGATAGCCACCCAAAAGGAACG